ATGTCTTTGTCCACATAAATTTGTTTTTAAATTAATGTTTATTTATTTTTTGAATAGGTAATTTATACAAATGGTATAAAGTTCAAAAGGTACAAAAGGGTAAGATACAGTTAGTTTGTTAGTTTCCATTCTTTTACTGACTCCAGTCACTAAGTTCTCCTTGCTAGGCAAATACTGTCACCAGTTCTTTATCAATCCTCCCAAAATTATTCTTGTCTATCCAGGCATATAAAATTTATTTTGTGGGCAGAGTTTACAACATCAAATAAATGGAGAACCAATTTCTTTAAATAACCTTATGTTGAAAACTTAAAAGTATTAAATCTGGTCAGATACTATTATTAACCATCAGCATCTCTGAGTCTAAGTTTAGCTTTTTGTTTTCAAAGTGAGATTAGCAAGATGCAGCATTCTCTGTCATCAGAAGGTGTGAACTAGAATTGACAAGACAGCAAGAGCTAGCAATTGGCACAGTGGTTGGGCTGCCACTAGGGAGACCTGCATCTCACATCAGAGTGCCACTTGGAGTCCTGGCACCTCTGCTTCTGGCCCAGCTTCATGCCAGTATACACCTTGGGAGACAGCAGTTCAAGAGCTTGGGCCCCTATCACTCTCATGGGAAATCCCAACTGAGTTCCAGACTCCTGGCATTTTCCCATTTTCCTGGCCCAGCCAGGAAAATTACAGGCATTTGAGGAATGAACCAGTGGATAGAACTTTTTGTGGTTCTGTGTGTGTGTGTTTCTCTCCCTTACAAAATAAATGTAAATAACATTAAAAAAGAAGAAGAATTGGAAGTGCCTTGCTCACAGTATCACAGTGTTGTTAAATGCTTCTTCCATGCATTTCATCAAATCTCTTCTACCATGAGGAACACCTGACAGAGATGGGGCCAGGACTGGAGCAACCAGCTCATCAAGTCAAGGAAAAGAGAATTGCAAGAGAGTAGAGTGTGGCCTGACTGGGACTAGGGGCCCCTTGAGGACTCAGTCAGGGACAGAGGGGGTGGGGGGAAGGGTCCATCAGACCTAACCCCACTCAAATCTGCCCCTCCTGTGATCACAGTTGCTAGACCTGATGCACACCCTGCACACGCGGGCAGCTTCTATCTACAGCTCATGGGCGGAGGAGCAACGCCATCTGGAGACAGGTGGCCGGAAGATCGAAGCAGATTCACGCACGCTCTGGGCCCACTGCTGGTGCCCTTTACTACAGGGTAAAGCTGGGGGATCAGATAGGGTGGAGGCAGAAGTGGAGCTGGAGCGGGGTGGGGAAGGGAGGTGCGCCAGGATCAAGATGCTTGGAGGGTCCTGACCCTGCTCTCACTCTCAGGCATTGCCTGCCTGTGCTGTGATGCCCGGCGCCAGGTGCGGATGCAGGCACTAACCTATCTGCAGCGGGCACTACTGGTACATGATCTGCAAAAACTTGATGCCCTGGAGTGGGAGTCCTGCTTTAATAAGGTAGGACTTGCTATTGGTCTCAAAGTTCAAATCCCTAACACAAAGAAAGCCAGGCACCCTGAAGAGCCTGTCATGTCAGTCTTCAGCCTGCACCGCTCCTTCCCTTCTGTTCTGTGCCCAGCCACTCCAGCCCCTGGATTCCTGGGGGCAAGGCTGCCTGACTGACCCTGCTGGGAGACACTGAAGGTATTTATCCACCAGGTGCTGTTTCCTCTATTGACCAAGCTCTTGGAGAACATTAGCCCTGCAGATATCGGTGGGATGGAGGAGACCCGGATGAGGGCTTCCACACTGCTCTCTAAGGTATTGCTCATCACCCACCTGTCCTCTCCACACCTGCCTTTTCTCAAGGAGAGGAGCCAGGGCTTCTGGTAGGACCTAGAGATGCAATGTAGGTTCTCAGAACCCCCATTTTTAGAAAATGAGCAGGACCCGGGACCTGGGAGGATTCTGGATTTCAAGAGTCTCTGATCTTGAGATTCATGTGCAAGTTAGAACAGGCTTGCCTTCTGACCCTGGAGAGCGGTGCAGAAGGCTGCTGCATTACACTTGGCTGAAGGGGCTGGCTGGCCATAGGTCTTCCTGCAGCACCTGTCTCCACTGCTGTCCCTCTCTACCTTTGCGGCCCTCTGGCTCACCATCCTGGACTTCATGGACAAGTACATGCATGCAGGCTCCAGTGACTTACTGGTATGTTCTACCTCACCTTGACCCCCATTGCCTGCCTCCTTTCCCACTGGTGGGAAGACTTTCTTTCTGCCCTTTGCCATCCTCACCTATACCCCTTTCCCTCTTCTCCTGGCCCCACTACCACCTGCAGTCAGAGGCCATCCCTGAGTCTCTGAAGAACATGCTTCTGGTGATGGACACAGCGGAGATTTTCCACAGCGCAGACACACGAGGAGGCAGCCCCTCAGCCCTCTGGGAGATCACCTGGGAGCGCATTGACTGTTTCCTGCCCCACCTACGAGATGAGCTCTTTAAGCAGACTGTCATCCAGGGTAGGGGGCTCAGCCCAGCTTCATTTAAGAGTCCCTCAAGCTGAATTAGTTCTGTGTGCCCCCAGTGGGTGGAAAGGCTGGTGGGTAACCAAGGCTCTGATGGAAAGAAAGAGTTGGCATCTGAGTTCCCTGTCCTCCCCAGACCCCGTTCCCATGGAGCCTCACAGCCAAAAACCTCTGATCTCCGCCCACCTGGCTCCTGCTGCTGGTGACACCAGGACACCTGGCCACCCACCTGCCCCAGAGATACCCTCTGAGCTGGGGGCCTGTGGTGAGTCTCTCAAGGCGAGCTTGTTCTGAGGGTTGTGCAGGAAGCAGGAGGCCTAAGGGGAGGCCCAGGGTACCTTAGGATTGCTGCTGAGTAAGGACTGGGAGCCAGGGGAGGGAGGCAACCAGAGAATCCTGTTTGCCGACTGTTCCTATGGAGAACGGCAGGACTGAAGAAGCTATTACGAACTCACTGCTTGAGCCTCTTGGCTCTTGGCTCTGGGAGGAGAGGGCTGGGTCATACTTGGAAGGAACACACAGAGGTTTCCCTCAAAGGATTCTAGTAAAGACTGACCAGAATTAACCTGACAATGGGTGCAGCAAAACAATGGGGGGCTAGATAGAAGGTAGCTAAAACCGAAATGAGTTTCAAGGGGAGCCTCCCACATGGCCTGGGATGGTAATCAGGAGGAACAGAGGTTTGATGCCAGCTGGGGAGTGAGAGTTGTCTGACTGCAGCCACCTTGCTCTCCTTACAGACTTGGAGAAGCCTGACCCACGAGCCACCAGCAGCAGCTCCCCGGGATCACCAGTGGCCTCTAGCCCCAGCAGGCTGAGCCCTACCCCAGATGGGCCAACGCCACTGGCTCAGTCCCCTCTGATCCTACAACCCTTGGCCTCCCCACTGCAGGTTGGCGTGCCACCCATGACTCTGCCTATCATTCTCAACCCTGCACTCATTGAAGCCACCTCTCCGGTGCCCCTCCTGGCCACTCCACGCCCCACAGACCCCATATCCACCTCCGAGGTCAACTAAGGCAGGTCCCTCAGATACCAGGACAGATACTTCCCATCAGGCTATCCCTGCCCCGCCTTCCGGCTGTTCCAGGGGCCACAGTCCCTTCAGGCCCAGTCTAGTCCAAGCTGCTATTGCTGCCACTTGGATTGAGAAAAAGAACTCCTGTAGCCTCTGCTGGGACCCACTTCCGACTGCAGGACCTTCTTCCTCCTCTGCTCTCCAGTCCTCGGCGTCTAACCTGAGAGCACCCTCAAGTGTCACCTGCAGTGTTTATCTCCAGCTGGCAGCTCTTGGGAGGCATCACTGTGCCAACCCTTCAATGCCCGCCCATGTATCCTCCTGCCCATGGTCAGGCATTGAGAGCCAAGCCCAACCACTCTGCACTTTCTTTCCCTCCCCCAGCACCATGCCCATCAGCCCTGGGCCACCTCCTCCAGTGCTTCCTCTTTTATTAATTAGTCGGTCAGTTTAGAGAGTTGATTGGCACCATAGATGGTGAGCTGGTGGAGCTGGTTGGGGGACTGCCTGCAGGAGCATGTACATATAGAAAAACAGGACAACAACGGACTTTTTATGATGTAATAAATGTCTTAGTACCAACATCCTTGGCTTTTCCTCTAGTTTTCTCCTTGAGTTTAAGAGTCAGGGCACTGTGTTGTTGGGATGCCTGGGGCTTGGGCCTTATGCGAACAAAGGCAATGAAGACAAGCTTACCAGTAGCTGGCCCAGCTGGTGCCTGGGTCAGGATTCTTTCACTGCTGCTGCCATACCTGTGCCGTAGCAGTGCACTTTTGTCACCAGAGGTGTTCCAGGGGCTTGGGTAATTGTCCTTTTCCATAACTGCTCCAAGGGAGATATCTGATACAGCTTTGCCTGAGAGCAGAGGGAAGATAAGCAAAAGCTGAGTTGAGTTCTTTAGAAGCCTCCCATCGGAGCTGCCTCTCAGTCCCAGAGCACAAAGACACCCATGGGGCTTAAGAGGGGCCCGGGTCACCTTGCCTGCATCTGTAACCATGTGTTTCTGGGTACAGAGCATTCATTCTGACCCCAAGCTGAAGAGGGACCATTCTTCCCGCGCACAGCCCGCATCCGCCCCAGCACTGCAGTAGGATTGGAGGATCTCGCCCCTTCTTTCCTGTGCATCAGCATAAGCCAGGTGGGAGTGTGCAGCGGAAGGCAGAGCGGGCCTGCAGGCCAAGGCGCCGAGGGTGGAATTCAGAATGCTATGTATTAAGCTTTTCCAATGGAAGCATCTATGCCTTGACCTCTCCCTCCACAACGGAGCCTTCCCCTCCTAGGGGATGGAAGAGAGGGTAACCCTATAGTGCCCCCATCTGGCCTCTGTCATGAAGGGTTCCAGGCATTCATCCTCTGCACTGGGGTCCAGCTGTGTGATTCTGTAGCACTGTGGCACTTCCCATTGCTGGGAGTTTGGGCTCTGACTGTGCCTCCTGCAGGTGTAGTAAAGGGTGCCTCACAATGGGAACAGCCGATGTGGAAAGATACTAAGAGGTGGGGCTGGCGCTGAGGTGTAGTGGGTAAAGCTGCTGCCTGCAGTGCTGGCACCCCATATGGGCGCTGGTTCAAGTCCCGGCTGCTCCATTTCTGATCCAGCTCTCTGCTATGACCTGGAAAAGCAGTAGAAGATGGCCCAACTCCTTGCACCCATGTGGGAGACCCAGAAGAAGCTCCTGGCTCCTGGCTTTGGATCGGTGCAGCTTCAACCACTGTGGCCATCTGGGAAGTGAACAAGTGGATAGAAGAAGAAAAAAAAGAAAAATATTAAGATATGAGGCTTACAGCTCCTAGACTAGTGTCTTCCCTCCCTGTACCCCAAGTCTTGCCCAACCCTGCCCCTAGGAAGATTAGGAGGGGCAGAGAGTTCTGTGAGTGTAGAAAACCCTGGATCCACAGCTACCCAGACACCAGGGCCCTTGACCTCAGCTGTGGTGAGGGCATCTGAGCCCCACTAGCTTTAGAAAGCTTAGAAGTTTTCATGGGGCCAGCGCCATGGCTCACTTGGTTAATCCTCCGCCTGTGGCTCCGGCATCCCATATGGGTGCCAGGTTCTAATCCCGGTTGCTCCTCTTCCAGTCCAGCTCTCTGCTGTGGCCCGGGAAGGCAGTGGAGGATGGCCCAAGTGCTTGGGCCTCTGCACCCGCATGGGAGACCAGGAGGAAGTATCTGGCTCATGGCTTTGGATCGGCGCAGTGCCAGCCGTAGCGGCCATTTGGAGGGTGAACCAACAGAGGGAAGACCTTTCTCTCTGTCTCTCTCTTTGTCTACAACTCTACCTGTCAAATAAAAAATAAAAATAAAAATAAAAAGTTTTCATGTGTTTCCCTCTCTGGGAAACTTGACCACTGCAACAAAGTCTGAAGGCCATCCTGTGAACAAGGACTGTGACAACTCAGTATCCCTCAACTAACCTCAAAAATTAGGGAGGAAGCTGGAGCAATTGCAAACTGATCCTTGCCTGCTGGGTAGCAAAGAAAAACCTTTGCTGGAAATCTCAGCTGATTGACACATGATAGAGCAGAGTTCTTTCCCTTTGCTTCATTGAACTTCGGAAAGCAAATGGGTCACCAGCAGCTCTACTGGAGCCACCCACAAAAATTCACCCAGATTTCTTGCTTTTCTGCATCTGCTCAAACTAGCATGGTCTGATCCTGAAATACGGCCTCAGTATGTGCTGCCAGAGTTTCTGTCACTGCACAAAGCATTCAACTCATTAAGTTGGCCCAAGTGATCTTCCTCTAATGGATTATCCAAGACATCTACCCAATGAAAATCCATGGTGGCTGTGTATACATAAAGGAAAAATGTAAAAAAAAAAAAAAAATCTTCAAAAGAAAAAAAAAGCAGCCCTTGCACGACTTTTTGAAGTGTTGTCTCCTAGAAGGCAAAGGAAGCTACAAGAGGAACTCGTATCAGAGCTTCATTCTGACCAGCAAGAACAAATGGTGTGATGGTACGGGAGCAACACAGTGTTGGGGAATGTATTAGCACAGTCCAGAGGGAAACGCTGGTCTTAGTGATGTCTCCCCCTGAACTTTAGTAGGACAGCAACAGGCTTCAAAAGTCCAGAAGGAAGCTGAGTGAATACTGAGAACTGACATTGTTAGAGCAGCTGTATGTGACACCGTTAAGTGCTTTGTTCAGACACCAGATGTGGCAACAGGTTGAAAAGGTCAAGTCACGGGGAGTTGGGAATCAAACCCAGTTCGGGCTCACTCTGAGCTTCGTGTGCTTTCCTGTGTCACATCTTGCATTCAAAAGTACTGGTGGTGGTGTAGAAACCCTCCGAAGTTAGACACAGTTTTCTGTAGCTGCTCGTAAGAAAGAAAAGGTTAGGCATGAGAAGCAAGAGGCTATTCCCTAGTGAGCTCAGAGTTTAGTAGGAGTCTATGAAAACGAAAGAGATGGCATACAGCCAGGAGCAAGGATGGATTGCTGAGTACATGATATGAGAAAGGATGAATTACAGATGGAGAAGAAACAGCACTGATGTGCCCCCACCACCACCACCACCGCAGTTCCAGGAACGACAGCAGTGGTGTCAGGAGCACAGATACCTTTGTTCAGGGCTCCACAGGAGACAGGGGCTGTGAGAAAGCAGAAGTCCACACGGCTCCTGGGCTTCAGGGCATAAGGAGCTTTAGTTGCCAAGAAATATCCTCCACTCTGTTCTGCAACACAGATTTTTCCTGCCTCTCCGCAACTTCACTGGCCATGATTTTTCAGCTTGCTTTGTTGACCTCTCTTTTCCATAGTCTCTGAACATTAGAAAGCCCCAGTGCTCAGTCCCTGGGTCCTCAAATCCCGCCCCCTTTTTTTTAATATTTATTTATGGTGTTGTGGAATAGTTAGTAAAGCTACTACCTGCGATACCAGCAACCCTTATGGGCACCAGTTCAAGTCCTAGCTGCTTTACTTGCGATCCAGCTCTCTGCTATGGCCTGGGAAAAGCAATGGAAGATGGCCCAAGTGCTTGGGCCTCTGCATCCATGTGGAAGACCCAGAAGAAGCTTCTGGCTCCACCCTGGCCATTGTGACCATTTGGGGAGTGAACCAGCAGATGGAAGATTTCTCTCTTTCTTTCTCTGTAACTCTGAGTTTCAAATAAGTAAATAAATCTTTAAAAATATGTATGTGTTTATTTATTTGAAAGGTAGAGTTACAGAGAGAGAGAGAAACAGATCTTCCATCTGAGGTTCACTCCCCAATTGGCTGCAATGGCCTAGGCTGAGCCAGGCCAAAGACAGGGGCCCAGAAATCCATCTAGGAATCCCACGTGGGTGGAGGTGCCCAGTACTTGGGTCATCTGCTGCTTTCCCAGGCGCGTTAGCAGGGAGTGGGATTGGAAGTGGAGCAGCTGGAACTTGAACTAACTCTCATTTGGGATGATGGCATTGCAGGTGACAGCTTAACCTGCTGCACCACAATGCCAGCCCCTCAAATCCTTTCTCTACACTTGCTCACTGGGTGAAGTTGTCCACTGTCAAGGCTTTAAATACCATCCATTACACTGGCTTTACCTGTAAGTCCCGACTTTACTCACTCCATTCTTCCAGGTTCTTATGCAATAATGTTCTCTGTTTTCTCACAGACTACATCCCATCCTCAACAAGTCTTGTCACTTCTATTTTTAAATCTATCCAGAAAGTGACTGCTTCTCACCATCATCACCCATGACCATTCAAGTCTAAGCCACCATCTACAGGACTGCCAGTGTCCCTCCGTTCTCTCTCCCTCTATTCTTAGCTCCATAGCCAATCTTTTTACAACACACCATATCCTTTGCACTGCACAGCCCAAAACCCTCCAGGGGCTCTCCATCTCATCCAGAACAAAACCCAAAGTTCTTGCTTTATTCCACCTCCCTAACTGCTGTGCCGCAGACATCATACACAGCCACGTCAGACCCTTGCACTACTGTGCCCACATCTGGAACGCTCTGCCTCCAGTCTTCCACATGACTTACCCCTCACTTTTTTCAAGTCACTGTTCAAATTTTCTCTTGTTAGAGAGGCCTTCCCTGACTGCTATCTAGGAGCTCCTTAGAGCTCCTCTGTCCCCTTACCTGCTTAATACTTCTCCATTGCACTTGTCACCAACTGACATCTATTTGATTCTTGTCTGCGAGCAGGGACTTTGTTTTCCAGAGTAGACTCAATACTTATGAACGAAGCAAAGGTATTGCTATATCTGCTCTGGGCCAGCCAGCGTGCTCCAGCTGGGTGCGGAGACAGAGATGATCATTAGGTTGAAAATTAGTGGAACAGACAATAAAGAGCTTTCTTAAGCCCAGGTAAGTGAGGCTGCAGCAACCTACAATTGATTATTTTGCATTAGGTAAAATCCCCAGGCTAATATGCATTGGGAATTGTTGACAGATGGGTACCTGGGGGTTCATTCAACTACTCACTTCCCCCCCCCCCAAAAAAAATATTTTGAAAAGCAGAATGACAAAGAAAGAGATCTTCCATGTGCTGGTTCACTCCCAAAATGCCTACAACATGCAGGGTTGGGCCAAGCCAAAGCCTAGACCCAGAAACTGCTTCCAGGTCTCTCACACGAATGGTAGTGGCCCAAGTACTTGAGCCACTGTCTGCAGCTTCTAAGGTGCACTAGCAGGGAGCTGGATGGAAGTGAGGTAGCCAGGACTACAGCCAGTGCTCCAATGTGGGATGCCACAGATGGTGGCTTAACCTGCTGCACTACAGTTCTATCCCTGAGTTTCTTTAATCTTCAGATAAATTACAGTTCGGCATTTTAAAACTAAAGCCCCATCTGTAGGAGTGCTTTTAACGCTGTAGAGACTGAAAGAATCATGGAACTTTCACCCATGATTTATGAGACTTTGAAAGACAGTCGTGATCCGTGGCAGCCGGCACAGGCTCCCAGTTTCCCTACATTGGCACATACCAAATAAGTAAGCATCTTGCATTCTAACTTCAAGTTTAAAAAGCTGTACGGTGAGCATTTGGCCTAGTGGTTAAGATACCAGTTGCAGGGGCCGGCGCTGTGGCTCAACAGGCTAACGCCCTGCCCTGAAGTGCTGGCATCCCATATGGGCGCCGGTTCGAGACCCGGCTGCTCCACTTGCGATCCAGCTCTCTGCTATGGCCTGAGAAAGCAGTAGAAAAAGTCTTTGGGCCCTGCACCCCATGGGAGACCAGGAGAATCACCGTCCACAGCGCGCCGGCCGCGGCGGCCATTGGAGGATGAACCAATGGCAAAAGCAAGACCTTTCTCTCTGTCTCGCTGTCTCTCTCTCTCACTGTCCACTCTGCCTGTAAAAATAAATAACAAATAAATAAATAAATAAATAAAGTGTACGGTTCTGAATTAAAAAAAAAAAGATACCAGTTCCAACCTCTGCACCCCAGAACAGAGGGCCTGGCTTTGATAACCAGCTCTACTCCTGACGGCAGCTCCCTGGGAGGCAGCAGTGATGGCCAAGTAGCTGGAGCCTTGCCAGCCATATGGAAGACATGGGCAGTCCAGCCCCTACTGGACCACTGCAGGCGTTTAGAGAGTGAACTAGAGATGAGAGCTTTCTCTCTCTCAAACTTAAAAAGTTTAAATTAAATTAAATTGAATTATTAAATTGATTAGATTGTTTTTGGGAAATCTGACCAGGGGAATACAGTAAACAATATTGCTGAACTCAGTAAATTTTCTAGCATGATCTTATTGCATTTTCTTTAAATGCCCACAGGAAGATAGAAAAGGCTGCTTAATTTCATATAAATTTAGGGGGAAAAGCTTTGTCCTGGGGCTGACACACTTGCTTTGAAATCTTGTTTCTGTCTCTTCCTAGCTGTGCCTGGTTTTGTTATGATTCTTCCGCTTACTTTTTTTTTTTTTTTTTTTTGACAGGCAGAGTGGACAGTGAGAGAGAGAGAGACAGAGAGAAAGGTCTTCCTTTGCCATTGGTTCACCCTCCAATGGCTGTGGCTGGCGCACCGCGCTGATTTGATGGCAGGAGCCAGGTACTTATCCTGGTCTCCCATGGGGTGCAGGGCCCAAGCACTTGGGCCATCCTCCACTGCACTCCCTGGCCACAGCAGAGAGCTGGCCTGGAAGAGGGGCAACCGGGACAGAATCCGGCGCCCCGACCGGGACTAGAACCCGGTGTGCCGGCGCCGCAAGGCGGAGGATTAGCCTCGTGAGCCGCGGCCCCGCTTACTTTCTCCTTCCGTTAGAGGTGATGTCCACCTGCTAGGGTTACTGGGAGAGGACAAGAACTCTGCTCAAGTTCCCCGACACAAGATCTGGCGCATTGCGTGAGCAGGCGACTGAGAGGAGGCAGAGTGCTGGGTGCGTTCCTGCCGCTAGAAGTGTTCCAGGGGAAGGTGGGAAGCACTTGAGCCGATGATTCCCGACATCAGAGAAAGCTTGAACTATTCAGACCTACGACATTTTTTCAATTCTGATATTCCAGACCTCCAAACACTTTTTCCTTACCCCTCGCAGAGCTCCCGAATTCAGGCCGGCCTGTATTTGCCGATTACAGAGAGCGGGAGGGGAGCTGGTCCCCGGAACGCGCACGGAGTTTCCTTGCAGTTCCAGGGGGGCCGCCAGATGGCGCCCAGGGACCAACCGCAGATCAACTTCCTTCCTCTTCCCCGGACTCTTCCCGGCAGTGGCTCCCAGCCGGGCGCCGGGGGCTGGAGAGCCGGAGCCGGCGGCTTCCCCTCGGAGTTCCCCAGCTTCAGAGGTAGCCAAGCGTTAGGCACAGCCACGGCCGACAAGCAGCGGGCCTGTCAGTGAAGAGGCTGGAGTCGGGGGCCTGGGCACGGAGGGTCCCACCTCGGGCCGGCCCCGAGACCACAGCTCGCGCCAGGCTGACGGTCATCCCCACTTCCCGCCCCGCGCGAACTTTTCCCCCTAACGGAGGCACCTGAATCGCTCCCGGTTGGCTGTGCCAGTCCCAGACTGAAACTTTCAGCCAATGACAAAGGGCCCGGGGCGTGACGCACGGAAACGTCACGGGAATTCCCCCCTCCGGGGGGCCGAAAAGGGGCTTTCCCGGCTGGGGCCCCGGTGGCTGGAGAGGCGTCGCGACCCGTCTGAGGCGGGTTGGACCTGGACAGAACCCGGAACCAGAGCCGCCGACACGGTGAGTGGCCGGGACACGGAGAGCGGCGGGAGGAGGCCCGGGGCTGGAGCGCGCACAGCAGCGGGTACACGTCCACATCCCCGCCGTGCACCTGCACCGACGCCGGCGTGCGAACACCGGCACGCTCGCCTGTGCGCCGGTGCCTCCCCGCGGTTCCCACGCTGAAGCCCGCGACGCACCCGCACACAGACACGCTCCCGTGCACACGCACCGCGGCACTAGGGAGAGGACCGAGGCGGGGGCGTGCGGGGCGGGAACCTACGGCAGTGGAGATGTTGAGACGCCCACCCCACGGAGACCGCTTTCCTTTCCTCGCCCCGCGGGCCCAGAATCGCGTTCTCGGGGAAGAACCCCGGGGCCAGCCGCTGGGAAGAGCTCCCCCACGCCACCCCGCCTACAGAGCATTCAGAGGAGGCCTCCGGCAGCAGGAATGTCCCCCCAAAAGCCCCCGGGGTGAATCAGCCGTGGCCTCCCTCCCGGCAGAAAATCCCAAGGTTGCTCCAGGCCGGGGGAGGGGAGGCGGGCGAGGGGCGGCCCCGGCCCCGGACGGCGAGGCTGCCCCAGCGGCGAAAGACCCTCCGGCGCCAACTCGGCCCGGGAGCTAGGAGCGGGGCGGAGGCCCACCGGGCCCTCCCCGACTCCCCGCCTCCCCGCGCCCCTCTGCCCGCCGAGCGGCGGCGAGCGCGGCTGGACCGGGCCTCCCGCCCCACCCGCCGCGGGGGCGGGGCCAGAGCGTCATTTCCAGGCCCTCCCCCTCCGGCCCCGCCCCCCTGGTATTTTCGGGACTTTCCTGAGCAGCTCTAACTTTCTGCCCCTTCCCCGGCCCAGCCCAGCGCCGGATCTCGCCCTCCGCCGGATCTCGCCCGCCACACCCGGACGGGCGGCTGGAGGAGCTCGGACCCCCGCTCGAGTCTGGGCTCCCCCCTCTCCTGCCCACCCCGTCCTGATCTGTCCCCCTTCCCTTCGCCACTCCCCCCCCACCTTAGGCGGGCGCCTGAAACTCTGGGAAGCAGAACCCGGCCGGAGCCACCACGCTGAGCCGGGCCTAGCCCAGAGACATGGAGAGTTGCTACGACCCAGTGAGTCACGCCGCGGGGCCCTACAGCCGCCCTCCCTCCACCTGTGCGCCCTCAGATGATCGCAACCTGCCTATCAGCCTGTCCATCTGTCAGTCTGCTAACTCTGCTTCCCAAAGGGCTCTCTCTTGGACCTGGGGAGGGGGGAGGGGGGAGGGCTCCGGAGGTGGCTCCGAATCGGCTGCCCCACCCCCACCCCCTGCCCGCCCCCGCTTCTGTCTCCAAACCAGGGCCTGGATGGCATCATCGAATACGAAGGGTTCAAATTTGACCCCTCCATTGTGGAACCCAAGGAGCCAGCCCCGGAGACAGGTCAGTAAGCCCACTAACCCCACCTGGCCTTACAGGGAGGGAGGAGGGATCGCATGTGTCCTGCCTGGGGGATGGGCCAGGAGAGCCTGGCTCAGCAAGGCCCCTCTGTCCCCAGATGACGGCCCCTACCTGGTGATTGTGGAACAGCCTAAGCAGGTGAGTGAGCACAAGGGGTGGGGGAGGGTGGCGGGTAGAGGAGTCTGTCCAACAAGGCTGCTATGGGGTGGGTGGTTGGCCTGGCTGTGGTTCCCAGTGGACACCACCAGTCACCGTGGTCACTGTGGGCCAGGGGTGTGGCTGGCTGGGGTGGTCTCTCCTGATCACAATGTTGCTGTGCTACGGACTTTCAGCGAGGATTCAGATTTCGATATGGCTGTGAAGGCCCCTCCCACGGAGGACTGCCCGGTGCCTCCAGTGAGAAGGGCCGGAAGACCTACCCCACTGTCAAGGTGAGCCAGGATAATTCGGGAGGGTGGGCTAGGAGACAGCACGTCCAGGGGCATTAACGACGGCCCGTGCCCCTGCCCCTCCCAGATCTGTAACTATGAGGGACCAGCCAAGATTGAAGTGGACCTGGTGACACACAGCGACCCGCCTCGTGCTCACGCCCACAGCCTGGTGGGCAAGCAGTGCTCGGATCTGGGGATCTGCGCCGTGTCCGTGGGGCCCAAGGACATGACTGCCCAGTAGGTGCCCCCGCCTGAGGCCCCCCATGGGATGCTCCCATTGTCTACCATCCTGCACCCCAGCCCGCCCCTGTGAGCTTAGCACCTGACCAAGGGGGGAGAGGTAGGGCCCAGAACCCAAGGACCCAAGTGAAAACCGGAACAGCTGCCTTGAGGCAGGGCTGTGTGGAGCCTGGTCGGGGAAGGCACTCAGGAAGAAAGGGCCACACGCCAACGACCCGACTTGCCCTCTTCCCCAGGTTTAACAACCTGGGTGTCCTACACGTGACCAAGAAGAACATGATGGAGATTATGATACAAAAGCTTCAGAGGCAGCGGCTCCTGTCCAGGCCCCAGGGCCTTACGGGTATGCGGGCAGGGAAGTCGTGGGAGGTGCTCACGCAGGGCGCTGGGCAGCAGGAGGAGCCCCGGGGTCACTCGTGTGCCCGCTGCCCAGAGGCTGAGAGGCGAGAGCTGGAGCAGGAGGCCAAGGAGCTGAAGAAGGTGATGGACCTGAGCATCGTCCGGCTGCGCTTCTCAGCCTTCCTGCGGGCCAGCGACGGCTCCTTCTCGCTGCCCCTGAAACCCGTTATCTCCCAGCCCATCCACGACAGCAGTGAGTATGCAGGCCTGGGTGTCAGAGGGGACGCAAGGGGCACCGGGAGCCGTGGGATCAGGCAGACCTGGGGTTGAACCTGGGCCTGCCACACGCACGCTGAGTGACTTTTAGCAGGTCACTTCCCCCCTCTGATTACGGCTCTGTCTTTGGTAAGTGAGAATATTAGTAATTCCTGTACCTCCCAGGGTTGTTGAGGTAACAAATATGAATGTACTTCAAAAAGGTCATGGAAATGGAATTAAATGAGAAGATTTTGCTGCAAAAAAAAACTTGAAATCCATGCATGATTTTTTCATAATACACATTTTCCATGAGCTTTTTTTAAAAGGATTTATTTATTATTTTACTTATTTGAATGACATAGTTACAGAGAGAGGTAGAGACAGAGAGAGAGGTCTCCCATGCGCTGGTTCACTCCCTAGATGGCCGCAATGGCCGAAACTGCGCCGATCCAAAGCCAGGAGCCAGGAGCTTCTTCCGGGTCTCCCATGCAGGTGCAGGGGCCCAAGGACTTGGGCCATCTTCTACTGCTTTCCCAGGCCATAGCAGAGAACTTGATCAGAACAGGAGCATCTGGGACTAGAACCAGCGCCAATATGGGATGCCGATACTTCAAGCCAGGGCTTTAACCCACTGCGCCACAGTGCCAGCCCCTCCATGAGCTTTTTGAAAACCTCCCTTATTTATGTGGATTTCAAAATATGTGCACCAAAATAAACTTAGTTTTTAATTCCATTTTTCCTCGAACTTTTTGGAATGCCCTCATATAGAGTAGCTGGCTCCCTAAAGTGTAAAGTATTATGCTGGCCTCTCAACGACGCATATCCCGCCCTCCTAGAGTCTCCTGGGGCTTCAAACTTGAAGATTTCTCGAATGGACAAGACAGCAGGCTCTGTGCGGGGTGGAGACGAAGTGTATCTGCTTTGTGACAAGGTGCAGAAAGGTGAGCCGGGGCCCAGGCTGGGAGCCAGGGACAACGGGTCTAAGACGGGGGCCCTGGAGGCCCCCGCAGGAGCTGTTGGCAAGCTCCAGTGTTCCCCACAGATGACATTGAGGTTCGGTTTTATGAGGATGATGAGAATGGATGGCAGGCCTTCGGGGACTTCTCTCCCACAGATGTTCACAAACAGGTACCCGGGGCGAGAGCCCGGGCGGGGGGCTGGATTGGGCAGCGGCCACACTGACACTCTCTGCCCCCCCCCCTCGCCCAGTACGCCATTGTGTTCAGGACACCCCCCTATCACAAGATGAAGATCGAACGGCCGGTGACCGTGTTCCTGCAGCTGAAGCGCAAGCGAGGAGGAGATGTCTCCGACTCCAAGCAGTTCACCTACTACCCGCTGGTGGAAGGTGGGGCTGGAGTGTCCCAGGGACCAGATCAGGGGACCCATGAGCCCAGGCAGGGGAGGAGGGCCCCCAGGACGTGGTCGAGAGGAGCCCGAGGAGGAAGGGCCCGGAGGCAGGACCCCAGGAGCAGGGGTTTTAACACCCCACTCCTCTCTGCCCCCAGACAAAGAGGAGGTGCAGCGCAAGCGGAGAAAGGCCTTGCCCACCTTCTCCCAGCCCTTCGGTGGCGGCTCCCACATGGGCGGAGGCTCAGGGGGCTCCGCTGGGGGCTATGGAGGAGCAGGAGGAGGAGGTGAGTGAGTGCTGGCGGCTGGAAGGGGGCTGGAGGAGGGAGGGGTGCGGGGAAGTTGCGGGGGAAGAAATCTGGGCGAATCCTGGCCGGTTCCCCACAGTCCTCCCTGTACCCACAGGGAGCAGCCTCGGCTTTTTCCCCTCCTCCTTGGCCTACAGCCCCTACCAGTCGGGCGCAGCCCCAATGGGCTGCTACCCAGGAGGCGGGGGCGGGGCGCAGATGGCCGCCTCGGCGCCTGGCGTGGATGCCGGGGAGCAAGCCACGGAAGCGGGGGAGCAAGCCGCGCAGCCCAGTGAAGCACAGGCCCCCGAGATGCTGCAGCGAGGTATAGCCTCAGAATCCGGGCGGCTGGGACGCGGGTGCTGAGAAACTAGCCTGTACCCACGCGCCTGCCGCCCCCTCTCACACCCCCCCCCCCCTCCCAGCGCGGGAGTACAACGCACGCCTGTTCGGCCTGGCGCAGCGCAGCGCTCGAGCCTTGCTGGACTACGGCATCACGGCGGACGCACGCTCGCTGCTGGCGGGACAGCGCCACCTGCTGACGGCGCAGGACGAGAATGGAGACACGTAGGCGGGGAGAGTGGCTGAAGCTGTGATCTCAAGTCTTGGGGTTGGGACAAGAAAGGGACCTATAAAAAGCCGGACTCAGGAGATGGAAGGGCCGGTCTCAAGTCCAGATCTACCATTTATTATTTCTATTCAAGTTGCTAAGGCTCTCCAAATCGTTTGGTGAAGGGGACACAGTGTACCTCCAAAGGCACTGAGAGAGTGTGTGTGTGTGTTCTCCCCCCTGAAAAAAAGCTTCCTGCTAATGCACACTCTGGGAGGCAGCCGGTGATGGCTTGAGTGACTGGGTGCCTGCCACTCACATGGGAGATCTGGACTGAGTTCCTAGTTCCTGGTTCCAGCCCAGCCAAGGACCCTTAACAAGGAACAAACCAGAAGATAGGAGCTCACTCTCTCGCTGTGCCTCTCAGTTAATTTTAAACTTATTTGAAGGGCAAAGTACAGGTCTTTGTTCACTCTCTAAATGGCTGCAACAGCCAGGGCTGGCTAACAGCCAGGAACTCCCAAGTTTTCCATGAGGGTTGCAGGGACCCAAGTACTTGAGCTGTCATCTGCTGACTCCCAGGTGCATGTGCAGGAAGCTGGAACGGAAGCAGAGTAGCTAGGACTCGAACCGGCACTCCCGCATGGGATGTGGCCAGGTGCCCCACGCAGCAGCCTAACCTGCCGCTCTGTAACTCCTGCTCCTAATTAACTTTAAAAGGTTCAAGGGGAGAGGAGGGCAGGTTTTTGGTGCAGCGGTTAGGCTGCCCACATCCTGTATCAGAGTCCTTGGATTTAAGTCCCAGCACTGCTTCTGCTCCAGCTTCCTGCTAAGGTACTCCCTGGTCCCTGCCTCCCAGTCAGAGACCCTAATTAGGTTACTGGCTCCTGGTTTTGGCCTGGCCCAACCTTGGCTTTTTTGGGCATTTTTGGGGAATGAACCAGTAAATGGATAAGCTCTCTCTGCATTTCAAATAATCTTAAGATAAGCTTATTAAAAAATAAAACGTGCCCTTTGAGACATTCTGGGTTCAGCAAGCCCCAGGGAGGGAGACTGGAGGCAGTGAGGGTGGAGGGTGGAGGGTGCTCTAAGTGGCTGGGCTCGCTAGTCTAGTCTTACTCCTCAACCCCTAGGCCGCTACACCTGGCTATCATCCATGGGCAGACCAGTGTCATTGAACAAATCTCACATGTCATCTACCATGCCCAACACCTTGGTGTCGTCAACCTCACCAACCACCTACACCAGGTGAGGGACACCTACTGGTGAGGGGGCAGGGATAGGGGTTAGAAAGCTAAAGGGTCTACACCGAGGACAGGCCTAGCTCACCCTGCCTTTGTCCCCAGACACCCCTGCACCTGGCGGTGATCACTGGGCAGACCAGGGTGGTGAGCTTCCTGCTGCAGGTGGGTGCAGACCCAGCACTCCTGGACCGGCACGGAGACTCGGCTGTGCACCTGGCACTGCGGGCAGGTGCTGGGGCCCCTGAGCTGCTCCGTGCGCTGCTCTGCAGCGGAGCTCCTGCTGTGTCCCAACTGTTACACATGCCTGACTTCGAGGGTGAGTTCTCTACCCCACGACTGGGGGCAGGGGCAGGGGCAGGGCCTGTGATCAGGACGGGTATCTGGGAGGTGCACAGAGTGGACAGGAGTTACGGAGACCAACTGGGCGGGACTGGTCTAGGAGCCATCCTGCAGTCGCAGCTACTGGCTGAGTATCTTGTATCCCTAGGACTGTACCCAGTACACCTGGCGGTCCATGCCCGAAGCCCCAAGTGCCTGGATCTGCTGGTGGACAGTGGGGCTGAAGTGGAGGCAGCAGAGCGGCAGGGGGGCCGAACAGCCTTGCACCTGGCCACCGAGCTGGAAGAGTTGGGGTTGGTCACCCACCTGGTCACCAAGGTGGGACTGAGGGTTGTGAAGGAGTAGGACCAAGGAAGGTGAAAGGTGTGTGGGAGGAGGCAGCCAATGAGACTGTACTGTGGTCAGCTGCTCCCTTGCACCCCACAGCTCCATGCCAACGTGAATGCCCGCACCTTCGCGGGAAACACGCCTCTACACCTCGCAGCTGGACTGGGGTCCCCAACCCTCACCCGCCTTCTCCTAAAGGCTGGTCAGTTTTGCCCTTCCGGACATAGGAATAGGACGGGGGAGGAAAAGGGGTGTCCCCCAGCTCCCCCACTTCCCATTCCTCTAGGTGGGCCCCACAACCCCCTTAATCACTGCCTCCCCTCACCAGGTGCTGACATCCATGCGGAGAACGAGGAGCCCCTGTGCCCACTGCCCTCGCCGCCCACCTCCGGGAGTGACTCTGACTCCGAGGGGCCCGAGAGGGACACACGAAGCAGCTTCCGGGGCCACACACCTCTTGACCTCACTCGCAGCACTAAGGTGAGACCAGCCTGGGACTAGAATGAGCAGGGAGCAGTCTCTTGGGCTTGGGGGGCAGGGGGTGGGAAGTAGTCTGCGCTGTGCCCCCCAGGTGAAGACCTTGCTGCTTAATGCTGCTCAGAGCGCCGTGGAGCCGCCCCTGACCCCGCCCAGCCCTGCAGGTGAGGTCTCATCAGCTGCTCCCAGACCCCCCCTCTGCAGGTCCCCTTCCTCCATTCTTAGCTCCCAGTGGCCCCGTCTGCCTTGGCTGTCAGGTCACTGACAGAAAGGCATGGTCCATGTGTCTGTCTCTGCCCATCTCTGGAGCATCTGACATGTCTGTGTGGGTCCCCCTAAGGGCCAGGGCTGTCCCTCGGGGATACGGCTCTACAGAACCTGGAGCAGCTGCTGGACAGGCCCGAAGCCCAGGGCAGCTGGGCGGAGCTGGCGGAGCGGCTGGGGCTGCGCAGCCTGGTGGACACGTACAGGAAGACTGCCTCCCCCAGCGGCAGCCTCCTGCGCAGTTACAAGGTGGGTCACGGACCTGCACCCTGCCCCAGCCCCAGGGCCCCAACCCCACCTCACGCCTCTTCTTGTCCACAGCTGGCTGGTGGGGACTTGGCGGGTCTGCTGGAGGCCCTGTCTGACATGGGCCTGGAGGAAGGAGTGAGGCTGCTAAGGGGTCCCGAGACCCGGGACAAACTGCCCAGCACAGGTAAAGGAGGCCCACCTGGCAGGTGGACTTGGGCCTAGAGGGTGGGAGGTCTGAGGTCCTGACTCCTGTTTTCCTTTCGCCCCTGGCAGAGGTGAAGGAAGACAGTGCATACGGGAGCCAGTCTGTGGAACAGGAGGCCGAGAAGCTGGGCCTGCCCCCTGAGCCACCGGGAGGTCTCTGCCATGGGCACCCCCAGCCTCAGGTGCACTGAGCTGCCACCCTCCCACCAGACCCCGGCCCCTCTGTACAGCACCCCACCTGTGCCAAATCTTATTTAACACTCCGTGCCTACCCCTCAGGGCAAATAAAGGATTCTGGGAAGGGGAGGGTCCCCTTCCCAGCTCATGGCCGTGTCCAATGTGCCTCAGAACCCTGGAACCAGCTACCTGCCTTGGCCCTGAGCCAGGCACTGCAGACAAGAGGCGGCGGCGGCGGCCCAGCCAGCAATTCCGAGCAGTTTTAATGGGGGCGGAGGCTGTACAAAGGGCAGGGCCCACTGGCAGGAGGGGGAGCAGGCCGGGCTGCCCGAGCCCATGAACAGGGCCTTGGCGCGGACTCCCTTCCTCCACCTCTGGAAAGAGGGTGAGCCCTTGGGGAGGAAGGGGGGGAACCAGCTCAGCCCCACTCCTGGCCTCTGCCTGAGCCAGACCCCAGGACGGAGGGGGACTGCTGGTGTCAGGGTGGGGGTAGTCTCAGCAGAAAGCAGAAACATCGTCAGGCCTCCCCCACAAAAAAAAAAAAAAAAGCATCAAAAGTTCAAGGGCATTGGACCCTCCCACCCCCACCCACCCTGTACGAAAAAGTGCAAAACATTATCACAAAAAGGGGGTTCGGAGGGGCCCTCAGACTTGGCTCCTGAGGCCCATGCCCCAGCCCTGCCCTGCCCCGGACACCGCGTCCGGCGCGGTCGGGCCCTGGGCCAGGAGGCCTGCACGGGTGGCCCGCGGCCGGCCCGGGCTCAGGCAGGGCCATGTCATGCAGGTGCCCAGCAGGCACCGCCCCCCCACAACGCTCCCACCCCCAGCTCAGGGCTTCCACCGCCCACTGCCTGCCCCTGCCCGAGGCTCAGAGCCGTGACGCTGAGCCCGGGGCTGGCTGGAAGGGTTGGGCTGCAGGGAGGGACTGGAGTGAGAAGGAGGGAGTCCGTCCTCGGCGCACCCAGCCTGGGCCAGCGCTGCCTCGACCGCATCCAGCTCTTCGCACGCTGCCTTCAGCTTGATCCGAAGCAGCGCAGCGTAGGTGCCGTAACGGGATTTCTGGGGCAGAGGGGCACAGACTGTGAGAGGCCCTCCACACCTGCCCATGCCATTGCCCCTGGACCAGGGAGGGGCGCCAAGCAGGCAGGATGGCAGGTGCCTGCCCACCTCTGGATCCCCTAGCAGGTTGGAGACCCTCTGTGGACCCCCGGGGCTGACACTTCCTGAGCCTCGGTGGAACTGGGAAAACGAAGCACCTGGCAGATCTCTCATTTCAGGACCCTGGTGGGTGTGGAATGTCAGCTTCGTTCTACAGGAGAGGAAACCGCAGCTCGGAGAGATTAGGCAGCCTGCCCATGGCCACCCTGCTGCCTTCACTCAGGCCCGTGCCCTAGCCCCAGTCTGAGCGTGTGTGGGAGCCAGGGCCCGGGCAGGAAGGCTTACCTCAAACTCCAGGTAGGCCTCCTTCTGCCGCTGCTCTTCAGCCTCCTTGCCGCGGGCTTTCTTGCCCTGCAGGGCAGCCCGGTGCTCCCGCAACTCACTTGCCATGGCCTTCAGCTTGGCCTCGTGGGTCCGCACCTGCTCCTCCTAGCAGCCAGAGGGGAGCATGGTCAAGGTCCCTGTAGCCCATACTGCATATGTGTAAAAATTTTTAAAAGGTGCTCCAAAGCAACTAGGTGTGCCCAGCTGGGGTTACCTACCTGGGAGAGGCGGGTGGCAGCGCTGGGCAGCAGGGGGCGGCTGAACTTTTTCTGGGAGCTAACAGCAGCTGGGAAGGGAGGTGCAGAGAACATGGCGGCCACCACATTGATGCGAGTGATCCAGGACTGCATCTGCTCCAGGCTCCTGGGGAAGACAGCACAGCCCTGTGGAACCTGGGCCCAGGGTCTGTGTCCAGAAATGGCAGTCCTGGACCAGGGTATGGCCTGGGAAGGAATGAGGCCATCCAGGGACAAAGGGAGGGAGCAGGATGGGAGGGGCAGGAGGAGGAGGGTACTCACGGGGCCTGAAAGAGGAAGACTCGCCAGTCCGCTGTGCGCAGGTAGAAGACGTGGGGCCTCTTGCTGTAGTCACTGGCGCGGGTGGCCAGGGCGTGGTGGATGCTGATGGCATTCTTGAGCTCCACCTCTGAAAGGGCCTTGCCAGGCTGGTACTCCTCCTGCAGGGGGTGCCCGTCTTGTCCTGGCCCCTCTCGCCCACCCCCTTCCCCAGCCCAAAGAACAGGGCCCGCCCCGCACCTTCTGCAGGTAGAGGATCATGCCCTTGAGGATTCCGTGGAAGCTCTTCCAGCCCCGCTTGCCCCGAGGTGCTGGAGGGGAGGGAAACAGTCAGGGGCACCGGGCACAGGCCCGCTCCCACCCAGCCCCCAGGTCCTACTCCAGGCCTGGCCACGTACTCTTCCTGCAGTCAGGGTCTGCGTGCACCTTTCGCACCAGGGCCCCGTGCTTGTAGACAGCAGCGCCCGGCTCGGGAGTCAAGTCCAGGAAAGGGCTGGAGCTGCTGCCGCTGCCCCCGCTGACCCGCTTGATGACCTTGGGGTTGGGGTCGGCCAACTCAGACAGAGAGCGTCTCAGCTCCTCCTCGTCTCTGCAGGTGAGAGAGCCTCAGAGGGGGCTGGCCATGGAGCCACAGCCCCTTCAATCCCGACGTGTGTGGAGGTGCTGGGGAGCCCCTCAATCTGAGGCTCCCCCTTCACAGTACAGCCCCTCCCTCAGATGAGAGCGCTGTAGAGTAGGGCCACAGCGGTCTCTCCCAGCAAACGTCCCAGGCCCCTCCTCTCCACTCCTGCACGCAGCCTTCTGCAACGCAGACACATGGCTGACTCTGCTCTGTCTCAACCACACCCAGCACCAGGCTTTTCGCATAACTTGATGACTAAATGGTGATGCGAGAAAAGCATAGCTTCCTAACAGTTCCCTCAGTACATCCTGGTTTTCAGGCCCTGATAGCTGTCAGGTTAAAAAAAAAAAAAAATTGGATTTGGGGCTAGTGCTGTAGCATTGCAGGTTAAGCCTCCACCTATGATGCCAGCATCCCATATGAACGCTGGTTCAGAACCTGGCTGCTCCACTTCTAATCCAGCTCCCTGCTAATGCACCTGGGAAAGCAGTGGAAGATGACCCAAGTCCTTGGGCCCCTGCACCCATGGGGGAGACCTGGAAGAAGTTCCTGGCTCCTGGCTTTGGCTTGGCCCAGCTCCAGCCATTGCAGCCATCTGGGGAGTGAACCAGTGGATGGAAGACCTTTCTCTCTCTCTCCAGCCTCTCTGTAACTCTGCCTTTCCAATAAATAAATAACATCTTTAAAAATAAACAAAAAAATAACATTTTTTAAATAAATAATTTAAAAATTGGATTCTGTCTTGTTACTCCCTTGCTCAAAAACCTGCAGTAGGGGTGGGCAATGTAGCGTATTGGATAAAGCCAATTCCTGTGATGCCAGCATCCCATATGGGTGCCATTTTGAGTCCCAGCTGTTCTACTTCCAATCCAGCTCCCTGCTAAGGGCCTGGGAAAACAGCGGAAGATGGCCCAAGTGTTTGGGTACCTGTACCCATGTGGGAGACCCAGACAAAACTGTGTCCTAGCTTCACCCTGGTTCAACCCTGGCTGTTGCAGCCATCTGGGGAGTGAACCAGCAAACGGAAGATCGCTCTCTCTCCCCCTCTCCCTCTCTGTAACTCTTTCAAATAAATAAATAAATCTTTAAAAAATAAAACAAAAGGAGCTGTCTGTTGCCTTCCACATGAATCCTATCCTATGTCTCCAGCGATGTCGTCCTCCTCGCACCCCCCATCCCAGCCAGGCCTGCTTCCTCCTGCTCCCCCCATGTCACTCATTCCAGTTACCACACCTCTGCCAACTCAGCCTTTTCTCTCCCAGTGCTTCCATTTCAAGACTCGCCTCAGTCCCAGTCCTCCAAAAAGCCTTTCCTGACCCCCCCCCCCCAACCCTAGACTCTGCCTCCTCTTTCTGCCTTCTCACTCAAAGCCTGGGGGCTTCCGGTTAAACCGCACAGCCACTGGACTCAGCAGGTGGCTGCAGCCTGAGTGATCTCTGGGTGCTTAAAGGAAGACTCTGCCCTCAGACTGGAGCCCTCAAGGCTGAAACTGACCCTCCTCCTCAGACTGGATTCTTCCAAGACTTATCCTGAGCCTCCCTGTCTCTCCTGGGAGCTGCCAAGCAGAGAATATGGTTCCTCGTTCTGTGACATCTGGGGTCTCTAGGACCTGAGGGAGGCCTCCTGCGTCACTGGTCAGTGCCCTGCTTCCAGAGACTAGGGCTGCCAGGGGCCTCCCCGCCCCCAGTCCCAACCCAGCTTGTCATAACAACCGCTAGAGACAAAACACAGCCCTAAGCCCAGGCAGGCATCACCAAAGAAGGATGTGAGGCAGCCTCACCCACCTAGCCTTCCCAACAGCCCCAGGACTCGGGGCCTCCCCGGGCAACCCCTACCCCATGCCCATTCTCATCCCTAACCCCACCACATGGGTCCAGGACTCACATGGCCCACTGCAACTTTTCATTCTTGATGGAGCTGTATAAGGCCTGGGGAGGGGAGACAAATCGGGGGTGTGGGTCAGTCCTGAGAAGAAGTCCACCATATACCCCGATGTCAGAGCTCAGAGCCCTCCCTCCCAACCTGGGAGAGGAAAGAGAACTAAGAGGGAGGGGCAGCAGATTAGAACGACTGAAAGCACTGGCTGAGGAGTGGAGTCCTAAGACGCAGGCCCCCAGAACACCCCGGAACGCAGGACTTGGGCCAGGTACCTGTGGCCAGGAATGAACGCAGCAGCTAGCACAGGGCACCCTGGCAGCAGCTGGCGCACAGGTAACGGTGTTGCTACTCTTTGTATTGTTACCAAGGGCTTATCCCACTCAGCTCCTGGGCAGAAGCACGTCCCGGGGAATGCGGAAGAGCTGGCTGAAAAACTTCCATGCCCTAACTATGTGCCCTTCCCACATGATAAACCCACACAGAGTGCATGGGGAAACTGAGGCCCCAGGATAGGGAACCCCCTCTCAGCTCTGTCCTCGGCCAATAAAGAACACACCCTGATGGCTGACACGCTCAGGCCTCTGCCACCAAGCTAAATGCCACGGTGGTCCCCCTCCTGCCCACGTGCACACTCCGGAACAGCAGTCTAAGATACAAGGGTTTTAGCTCCCAGTATTGACCCACCCCAACCCTCCCGGAGGCACCTGTGCCAATCAGCTCTCCTCCATGCAGTTGGCCTGGGGCACATTTGGGGCCTTGGTGTGGTGGAAGCAGAGAATGGGCTCCAGGAGTGGTGCAGCCTACCCCTCTTCCTGGAAGTGGTCTGGCACATGGGTCCATGCCAGTGCCTCTGACTGTGGGGGTGCTGCCAACAGCCTGTCTGTGAGTGGGTGTGTCCCCAGCATGTGCGTGTTGGGCTAAGTGTGTGGCGTGTGATGCTGCCTGCATGTGAGCTGGGTGCAGTGGTGACGTCGGTGCCGTCCCCGTGATGGGACACAGCACCCCCACTCTCTCCAACACACCGCGATCGGCGACTCTCGCAATGCCCACAGCCGTGCCCAGCCACAAGGTTAGCCAGCTTCCCACTGAGCACACCCTGTCTGGGGGTGGGTACACCCCACAGCCTCCGGCCCCCGCACAGCACAACCCATGCTAATCAACACAGTTTCTCAGCACACACAGACCTGGCCAAACCCAGCACAGCTCACACCCTGAATGCTCACTTGCTCAACTCTGGCCAGGAAGCTGAAGTGGCCACCAAGACAACCTGCAAGCCCTGTCTCCAGCCTGCTACTCCGTCCCTGCACCGGCTCAAGCCCTCTGGCCCACAGCCACACCTTCCTTACAAGGCCCTGAGCCCCTAGTGTCACGCTCCCAGCTGTCCCAGCTAGAAATCCCTTTTTCTCACCCAAACTCTTCGGTTTGTTAGGCACACCTGGGCTCAAGGGGTCTGTGCCCTCCCGCCCCCTCCCCGGTCAGCCCGTGCCCACCTCTGGCTGCCCATGAGCTCTACCCCTGCTGGGCTCCCCCTCCGCCCCACCGATGGCCACCTCGGCTTTGCCGCTGCCCGCGCCCCTCTCCAGCCGCCCCCTCTGCCGCCCGCGAGCCTGGCGTGGGCAGCGGCCCCAACGCCCTCACCGCCTTTTTCTTCTTGCGGCTCTGCAGACGGCTGACCACCAGGTCGGTGTAGAGCACGGGCTTGAGGCTGCGCGAGCGCTGCGGCCAGCCGTAGCACAGGGTCTCCGCGCCGCGGTGGGTGCGCCCGTAGCGCACGGAGCACAGCGAGCGCGAGCGCAGCCGCCCGGCGCTGCTGTGGATGCTGTTGACGCCGATCATGCTGGCCCGGCCGGCGCGCCGCGGCCCCCGGCCATGCCCCCGCCCGCCCTCCGCCCCCGGACCGCCCGGACGGCCCGCGGACGGCTCCCCCGACAGCCGGCGCGAGCGGCGCGGCCCGGCCCGGCCGGCTCCCACCGACGCACGGAGCGCGCGGCGGCGGCGGCGACGCGGTCTGCTCTGCAGCTCGGCGCGAGGGGAGGGGGGGCGCCGGCGGCGAGGGGAGGGCGCGGGCTGGGGGCGGGGACGGCGCACAACGGAGGCGCCCGGCAGCGAGGGGGCCCTCGGCGCGCCGCCGCGGGGAAGGGCGGGGAGGCCAGTGGGGGCGCTTGCGCGCGGGTGGGCGGCCCTGGGGACACTGGCCGGGGGCACGGGAGACGCTCGGCCCGGGCTGTCCCCGGGGCCAGGAGCTGGCTCCCGGTTCCTCGGGGTGGAAGGGGTAGGGTGGGGGGGCTAGCGGAAGGATCGAACCGCCTCCCCACGGTGCTTTCCCCTCCGCCGAGGGAGAGGGTGCACGGGGCTGGATGACAACAGCCACGGAATAGCTCTGGCTCCCCGCAGCCCACCCGCAGGTACCCTGAAACGCCCGTGTACATACACCCCCCTCTCAGGAATACGCCCCAACTAACCAGACGCACCACCCACTCACCCCAAGCCACAGGCCCTACAAATTCAGATGCACACCTCGCACTTTACAACCTTTAACTCTCACACACACCTTACTCACCGGCTTCTGTCATCAGCCAGCCAGCCAATTCGAGGATGTCCACCCCAACACACAAACACCCAGCGGCCCCGGCTCGCACGCGCACGGAACCACCAGCCCTCAGTAACGCACGAGCACAGCCCGCCATTCAAACCCTCGCTACGCCGACCCCTTTTCACCGACGCAGCTCAACCCAAGCACACACCCCAACTCGCGGACAACCTAGCTCTCGATGGCCAGCACTGCTCGGGTACACCCCCAAGCCACTGCCCCGCTCGGGGTCGTCCTGTACAGTTTCATGTGTGTAGGCGCCCATAGCCCCTTCCTTTCAATCTTGGGGGTTTCTTCAGGTGGGCCCAGACCTCTCTGGATGAAACACTGCTGGCCAGGGAGGAGTGCTCCGCGGGCCGGGTCCCGCCCTGCTCCCCTCGGGGTCTGCACCAGTCCCAGTGTCTCTGACCCCTGGAGGGCCCGCCCACACCGGCGCCTGACATCCGGGCTCTGGGCCCAGCTCGAGCCCGAGACCTCGGAAGAGCCTTTGTCCCTTTCAGGCCCCTCCACCTCCGGGGTCCCTCCAGCGCAGCGGCGCAGTTAGGTCTTTGTGGCTGTACACCCTGGAGTGGGCCGCGGTGTGCCTGTGGACGCCAGCCGCAAGCAGGCACACCGTCTCCACGGCAGTGCCAAGGCTGGCAGCCCACAGAGGCCAGAGCGGGGTCGGGGGCCTCCGGCTCCCCTCCCCCGCCGCGCGCCGCCGCGACTGCACGCGCGTGCGCAGGTTCCGGGAGCGCCGCGTGTGGGGGCAGGGAGAGGGGGCGGTCCCCAGGCTGAGTCACGAGAGCCGGGGGCCGGCGAGCCCCACCCCGCCCCTCCCTCCGAGTCAGCCGCCGCCTGGGTCCTCCAGCCTCCCCTCTGGCAACTTCTACCTGCGCCGCCCCCCACCTTGAGCAGCTCCCTGGGGAAGTCGCCTCCGTCGTTGAGGCCCTCCAGGTTCCCGATGAAGTCTCCGCAGGTCATGCGTTTCCCGATGTTCTAAGGGAGGCAGCAGAGGCCTGTGAACCTGCGGGCCCCGGGGCCTCCCAGGCCTTGAAGAAGTCTCCGCACCGGGGTCTATCTTCCTAGCACCCGCCCGCCCCCACTCACGTGACCATGGAGATCGGTGTTGAGTAGCATGAGGGCGCAGGTCAGCGTGTGGGCGCCGTCTAGGGAAGAGCGGGCGCGCGTTCAGCCTGCCCCCCCCAACTCCTCCTACCCCCTACCCCCGGCTCTAGCCCATCCGCTATTGAAACTCCCTTTGGCCCACAGCAACACCTTAACCTTCTATGTGAACCCTGGCCAGCCGAGACCTCCTTTCTAACAGACCCCTCATCAAGGACCCCTCCCTCTTCTCAGGCTCCCTTCCCTGGCTCCCAGAGTGCCTCTCCGAGCCCCACGCAAGCCAAGCATTGTCTGCAGGACAGCTGTGTGCAAACGCATTGGCACCTGCCTCTTCACAGTGCACTATTGACCTGCCTACAGGGAAAGTTCCAGCAACATCCGTGTAGACAGCACCATCTGCACACATGCATGGTCATGTGCTTACAAGCACGCTCCTACCCCTGTGCCCAGCCCAGCAGCCTCAGTGACCCCACAGGACCACCCTGCTTCCCACCCTCTCACCCTCTGAAGACAGGGCTTCCGGATTGCACTGGAAGTATCGCTGGGAGAAGTGGGCCAGCACACGCTCCCGTTCCTGGGTCTCACCCATTAAGGCCAGCTCTTTCAGAAACACCCTGGGAGGGAGGAAGAGGAAGCGCTCATCCCCACCCAAGGCCACTTTGCAGGCAGCCCTGGCCCTTGGCCATGCCCAGTTGAAGAGGGCGATGTTAGGGTAGACAGAGGGGGCTCAAAGGAAGCACAGCTGGGGCCCTGCCCGCCAAGCCTGGAGAGCAGGGCTGTTCTCACAGCACTTACCACCCACCTGAGAGCCTGATCCAGCGTCATGCCCGTGAAGACAAAGAACTTGAGGTACTCGCCAGCCACCAGTTTGCTGAAGTCATTGCTATGGGTGGGGCAGAGAGACAAGTGGGGTCTCAAGAGGAGGCGTCAAGGGAAGGGGGGGTCGCCTAGAGACATGGGGGCATTCGATGGAGAAGATGTGGAGGCGATGCCCCAGGATGCGTCCCCTCCACCCCCTCCTCCGTGCCAGCCTGGTGGCTTTACTTCTTGCCAAGGTGCCGGGCCACGTCGGCCTTCCTGAAGCCGTCTAGTCGGTACAGCCTCTTGGCTAGGCGCTGCGCGGCCTCCAGATCCGCTTTCTGCCCGTTGGACAAGGTGTCTGTGCTCCCCAGAGCCAGCCGCTCTGTGCTGTCCAGCTCTGAGTCCGAGTCAGACACCAGTGGGTTCAGAGGCGTTTCGCTGCCAGGGTGGAACACCAGCCCTCAAAGCCCATCCAGACCCTCTCTCTGTCTCCAGACCCATAAGACAGAGAAGGGGAGAGAGGGACATGGGCAAAGCATTTTTTTTCTCCAGGGCAAGATAATGGTACAGGTTCTGTCCATCAGCCTAGTCCATCCTCAGTCCTCTCTATGGAAGGAAGTCCTGCTTCAAATCTAACCACATCCATCTTTCTGCCATAGGAGTGCTGGCTGCACCCCCCAAAGCTCCTAAGTTTGTTGTTAGGTATAGAGTCCCCATCCTCACACAGAGCATACAGGCAAGGGTGGGATGGAGGGGTGCAGGAGAGGAATGCTGAACGGTCAGGCAAAGATGGGAGAGCACTTCTCCTCCTGCTCCCAAGTCTTCCCAGGCCCTGCCTTTCAGGGAAAGAAGTCTCTCCTTTGTGCTTCCATCTACCCACAAAGCAGCAGACTCTGGGGCCACGACGATGGAGGTCAGGGTGTACCCCTAATCCCTTTCTTCTCCTACCCTTCCCTTCCCACCCCAGCTGCTCTACTCCTAAAGCCACCTGTCACCCCAGAGACAGAGGCCGGAAACTCCTGGTTGCTAGGCAACCCAGTCTCCCTGGCCACCCCCTCCTGTTGCCATGGCTTCCATGACTGAGAGGGTAGCTTGCAAGAGAGAAGAGCAGAAAGGTTAGGCTGCGAAAGGACTTCCTGGAGCAGGGTGAGA